TGTTGTGATATAATTGATACTTAGCATTTTTGTAAGTCGATCAGGTGTAGTTAGTGTCGAATCCTACTGTAGAACATAAGTCCTTAGGATGACGTCAGCAAATAGCCCTCGTCACGAGGACAGTCGTTTCAGTCACGCGAATAGTCGCACCTCTTCATTATCATCTAGGGCGCATAGCGCGATAGTGACGAACAGGTACATTAGCGAATAGGTATTTTTCCTAGAACTATAAATTCTTGTTAGGTCTTTTCATTATTAACTTTGATTACTCACAAGTTCACGTACTCAGGTTATTCAACCTTGACTATCATATTGTACAAAGACTTCCGCTGTCTTACTAGTCTACCATTCCAGCAAAGATCCTGGACCAACACTTGAGGACTTCCAAGTGTTCGTGTTTGCAGTTTTATATTTAGTCTCCTACAACATTGGACAAGTTATTTCATGGTATGAGAGCTATCTGGAATTAAGACTACCGTCAACTATGACTGGTTCATCACCAGCACCGTCTGCCGGATCAGTTACCGAAACTACTGGAGTACATGCCTCCACTACCGCCGTTGGTCTCTCAGCCTCTGGGCCGTTTCCACCAGCCTATGCTCATATCGGCATGCAACAACAGAATCCGCCTTCTGTCAACACTCCAGGTGTTTCATCGACTGCACCTGCAGCGCAACAACAACAATCACAGACAACAGCACAGCAAGAAGCATCAGTAGAGCCACCGGTTTCAACGCAATCAATTTCATCGGCGTTCAGTGGAATGAGCCTTGACGGCTCAAGTTATATGCGTGGAGCCACAGCTCCAAGTACTGGATCATTCGCTTTCTCACCTTTTGTACAGCAGCCGCAGTCACAGCAGTTTCAGCATCCTTTCTACATCTTCGGTCGTCCCCCTGCTCAGCAACAACAGCAACAACAACAGCAGCATCAGCAGCCACAGCAATTCCAACAACAGTAACAACAGCAACCATAACAACAGCAACAACAGCAACAGCTGGGTATTATTTTTCAACCTCCAAATTTGCTTAACAGTACACAAATCAAGACCACCATACCTTTTAACGGAGTAGATTTTTACTCCTAGACTTTCGAGTTTGAGCTTCTGGTGCAGTCCGCTGGGCTATGGCCGTTCTGTTCGGGGTCCTTCTCGGGGCGCTTCTTCGTTCCTTCCATCACCTCCAGCAGATCATAGTGGTCAAAGATGTTCTCCATCTTGAAGGACCACTCAGCAAAGTTGTCACCGTTGAACTTGTCAAGGCCAAACACTCTAGGCTCATCCCTAGAGGGGCCAACGCTAGGTTGCACGGGAGCAATGGGTGGATCTTGGTGTTGGCCTTGAACTTGGGCATCTTCTCTGCCTCCAGCACCTCTGCCACCCCCTTCCCCAGATCTAGGCATGGTCTAAACGGCTCCAAGGGGCTCTGATACCACTTGTTATCATCACAATAGGCTCAGATGTGCCTATAATGAGAGATAGAGAGCACAGTCGGATTTCCGTCAGACGGCTTCAAATACTGATAACGATCTGCTCTCTGACTTCAACGGTGATCTGTAAGTTGGATCTGAAGCGCGCTGCTGTCGTCTATCAGCAGCAAATTGAATCAAGAAATTCCATGAATATTTGACGACGCTATGGCAGTTTGACTGGCAGGAGGTATAGCAGCCACTATAGTCTTAGAAGTACAAAATTAGCAAGCAAAATTCGAGAGTGTGATGGTTCCCAGCCTCTACATACCCCAAGAGCCGAGGTCCAGGTTGGTGGCACACCACCAGAGAGTCCCCAACCACGAGGAGACTCGAAACAAACCCAGCAAGGGGCTACACCAAGTGAAATATAACACTACACGAAGTAGCATTACTATTTTCACTATTTTAGTATTTATCCACGTCCCTTGGGCTTGAAATCTTCAGCTCTTGGTCTTGGTTCTGCAATATAAATTCTTCTTGAGTTGGTGAGGGCTGGCTGCACACACCTGCAACGCGGTGGACACTTCACACTCGACAAAATAGAAAAAACACATGCGACGCGCAAACGACGACTTGACATGCGAGTAGTGAAAACTCGCTAATGTCTTGACCGACACACACCACATTGTGAGACACCATTCAAGCACACACACAAGCACTAGATAGCAATGACATAGACTCACAAGACACACTCACAAGTTCCTTGAATCTGGAATATTCAGAGTACTTCTGGACCCATTCCGAAACTCCCTAGGGCCTAGCGTAAGCCCTGTCCAAGAGCCTAGGCCTTTTCCTTGCTTCCCACCAAACCAGAACGAGAGATATTTGCGATAATTGACAACAGCGTCGCGTGAAACTTCTCTCTTCTCCGGACCATACTCTAGCGCGTACACCCTCGCCCCACGGGGTTCTCTCGATTGGGAATCCCTGGGGGGAGTTCTCAATGTCGGTCTTACCTGTCTACCTCGAGGTTAGACTCAGCTTTTCCCGCGCCTCTCCAGGTCCTAGTTGCCGCTCCGCCATTCGCCTCAAAGTTTCCGCCATGGATTTCCCATCGACTCGAAGCACACAGAGCCTGCCATCATGCGCGTCGTGCCGCCATGGCCCGAATCACAACGGGACTGCCTCCTCGCTTTGTTTGCCTCGCCTCGATCCCGTTCCTCCCTCTCCGAACTGTTCCACCACCGAGCCTTTCCTCGGCATCAAAGCTTCCTCCTCGCACTTCTTTATCGCATTACATATTCTCCCTTCTTCTCCGGCCGGACATATAGTTGCTTCTGCAGTCCACTTCGTTGATTTCCTCTTTGGATCCGTCGTGGTTCGCCATGGCTTCCGTCGCCGAGGATAATGCTGTCGTCACTGATCACTGCCCCATTGCTTCTCTTCCCGACGATCTGCTTGTCGACGTCTTTCACTGCCTTGTGCCAATTTCCCACTTTCATCCGCCTCTTCTAACCAGCAGAACCCGCCTACAGCATTGTCATCAGCGACGTCGTCCAACATCTCCTCCCCCTCGCAAGCCTCTTTCTCGTTCGTGTCTCGTCACTGGCTTCGACTCGCATATGTTGCGACCACGTCTTTCCGCCTGACACGTCGTCTGGGAATCTCAGCCTCACAGCTCCTCTGCGCCGTTAGCCGCATGCCAAGGCTTGAGTCTCTCTGGATCGATTTTTTTGGAGTAGATCATGTGACTGACGACCTCGTTGCGCAGGTCGCGGCCGCTTGTCGCCCGCTTTTGCGGTTTTTGCTGCTCTCCAGTGGTGATCGAGTTGGCGAGGACGATCGTGTCTGGACGTCCCTAGCGCTCGAGGCGGTGTTCCAAGGTTGCACACGTCTGAAGGAGCTCGTGCTCGACTGCCCGCCCGCCATCACAGAGTTTCCTTCCAGTGTCACAAACCTGGCTGGACTCCTACGTCTCATCATGTCTTCAGAAGGCAGCAATTTTAGCCTTCCTTAAGACATCGGCAAGCTTCATGCTCTGAGAATTCTCCACTTGGAAGTTCGTCGTCTCACGGTGCTGCCCGAAAGTCTTGGCAACCTTGGCAATCTGCAGGAGCTGAAGCTCAACGGCTGCTGGGGTCTGTCAGCAATACTCGAGACAATCGGGCGGCCCCTGAAACTACGTGTCTTTCGTGCCTGGGGCTGCGGCACGCTTCTCTTCCTCCCTGATGCTCCTTTTCAGTTGCGCTAGCTTGGAATTACTGGAACTCTTCATGCCAAACCTGGCCAGGCTGCCGGAGAGTATCGGGCAGTCCCACAGCCTTCGGCGCCTCATCGTACGCAACCGCTTCAGGGGTATACAGCTGCCTGCGTCCTTCACGAGGTTGTCCTCTCTTGAGGAATTGAAGTTGGGTTCACGCCTTCAGGAGCTGCCAGAAGGCTTCGGGAATCTGACCAATCTCAAAGGCCTGGAGCTGAGTCGTTGCCCTAGGCTCACTCTGCCCTCCTCTCTACCGCAGCTGTCTCTCCTTGAACGACTTGAGATCAAAGGGCAGCAGATGGTTTCTCTCCCAGAGACCATAGGGCAGCTGCCAGCACTCAGAGAGCTCCGTATCTCCAGCTTCAGCAATCTCCAAACCCTTCCTAATTCCATTGGTCAGCTGCAGCAGCTTCGATCCCTAACACTCCGCAAGTGCAGCTCACTCCGAGTGCTGCCAGAGTCCCTGCTGCAGCTCAGTGCTTTGGAGAGACTCGAGTTTTTTCTCTGCACACTCTCCTCCCTCCCTGAGGACATCCACCTCTTGACAAGCCTTCGATGGCTGAATCTCAGCAAGTGCCCAGAAATCAAAGAGCTGCCTGCCAGCATCTCCTGCTGCCCTTCCCTTGCGTGCGTTAGCATCCAAGATTGCCCCGCTCTCACAAACATCCCTGGAGGGGATTGGCACCGGTTTATAGTGCAGCATGACAGCCAAGTGCTCATGCGCCAAGTGAATCGGTAGGATGGATGATCGGACAGAGTTGAGCAGGCACGGGGGAGGTGGTGGTGAAGGGGGTAGGGTTTCTCAAAATGTGGTGCTCCAGTGGATGGTGATGCATGCCCTATAGATAGCAGAAATGGTTAAGTGTGGTGCTTACGAGTGTTCAGGAAACAAGCGAATGACGACCAATTCCTTTTTCTAGATGTTTTTCCTTGCAAGATGCACTTAAGCTTGCTGCACTCTGCAGCATACAGATTGTGTCACGACTCCTAAGAACATGCACTTCAAATTAATGGGAGGGACATGCTAATGCTAAAGAGATGCACAGCAAGGCAGTGCGGTAACTATCTATCTTCAACGAAGTTAGTGATCTCAACACCGCAGCATCTTGTATGAGGTATGTGAAGCAACAGCATGGCAGCAGCATATGAGTAATGGCATGATAAGTGTTCCCACGGGTTCGCCACTAAGAGCACGCACAATGTTGCCAGGCACCGTCAGGTTGAACACCACCACTGCAGAGACACAGGCGTGGGAACGGAGGGGGCAGGAGGAGTGAAGGTTGCCAATGGCAACGAGCTAACTGGATAGCAGTGCTTATGAAGTTTGAGCCAAGACACATGCAGCGCGAGGCGACCGAGAAGAGAGAGAAGAGAGAGAGAGAGAGAGAGAGAGAGAGAGAGAGAGAGAGAGAGAGAGAGAGAGAGAGAGAGAGAGAGAGAGAGAGAGAGAGAGAGAGAGATAGAGAGAACACGAGAGAGAGAAAGAGGGAGAGGGAGAGGGAGAGGGAGAGGGGGAGGGGGAGGGGAAGGGGGAGGGGGGGAGGGAGGGGGGGAGGGAGGGAGGGAGGGAGGGAGGGAGAGAGGGAGGGAGAGAGACAAGGAGAGGGAGAGGGAGAGAGAGGGAGGGAGGGAGTGAGGAGAGAGAAGAGAAGAGAGAGAGGGGGAGGGAGAGAGAGAGAGAGAGAGAGAGAGAGAGAGAGAGAGAGAGAGAGAGAGAGAGAGAGAGAGAGAGAGAGCACGTGCCTTTCCTCAACTATATAAGGTCCTCTCTCGCTCCATTCTCCTTGTTTAGTTTCCATTCATTCTCTTTTCTTCTCTTTGGTTTCGGCTCGCGCTGGCGGCCTTCGGCCGCCGTCGATCGCGGCGCGACCTCCGGCCGCGCGGTTAGGGGATGGCAAGCAATTCCAAAACAACATAGCACTCAACGAGTGTGTACAACAACAGCCTACGGGGCCCTGGCCTTGCTGCTGCAACGCACATGGAGATGTTAGAAACAGAAAGGTTCAGTTAATCGATGAAGCATATGCATTACATAGGAAGAGAGAGATGAGCTAGGAAGGGAATGTTGGAAGGGAAGGGGGGGGTTAGGATCAATCACAATGGAGGGAGGATCCTTCCAAATGTGGTTGACCACAAGTGGGAGGTGGTCCAAGTGTGGTGGACCACACGTGGATTAAGCAACCCACTTGTGGTGCCCCCACAATTGTGGTCCTTGTGTTTGGGGGCTCCAACCACAATTGGATTGGATTGACACCCCAACACAGGTGTACACCCAACTAGGGATGTAAACACAATATACACAAATAGCATAGCATGGTATATTCTAACACAACCCCATAGCATGCAAAGCTAGTGTATATGAAGGGTACAACCCCAGAATCAGGATGGGGGGTGGGGCCCATGACCGAGAAGGCAGAGGAGGGCAGAGTGCGCGGTCTTCGGGAGGGCCTTGGTAAAGATGTCGGCCAAGTTGGCCTCTGCAGCGATCTTATGGACCACCAAGTGACCTTGCTGGACCAACTCCCGACCGAAGAAGTAGCGGAGTTCAATGAGCTTGGAGCGGCAATGGAAGACATGGTCCTTCGTGAGATGGATGGTGCTGGCGTTGTTGCACAAGAGGGTGGGACAGCGCTGAGGATCACTGATCTCAGCAAGGTGGAAGATGAGCCAGCGAGCCTCCTGAGCGGCCATGGTGCAAGCATAGAGCTCAGCCTCGCAGGATCAGAGGGCGATGGAGGAGGAGCGAGTGGAGCGCCAGCTGATGAGGCCGCTGCCATGGGTGAAGCCGTAGCCTTGAGAGGAACGGCGATCCGGCTGGGAGTCAGCCCAGGAGGAGTCACTGAAGCTAGAGAGGAGGGGAGGAGAAGAGCCTCCCAAGGTGAGGACATAGTCCTTGGTACCATGGAGGTAGCGGAGTACCCGCTTTGCTGCAGCCCAGTGCTCGTCAGTGTGGCGACCGGTACCGACGAAGCGAGCACGAACGCTGATGGGGAAGGCAAGGTCTGGGCGGGTGCACATCATAGCGTACATCAGCGAACCGACGAGCTCAGCGTAAGGATGGTCAGAGGAGGAGGGAGTAGGAGGAGGGGCAAGCTGGTGGTCGGTCTGCAGGGGAGTGGTAACTGGTTTGGCCTGTGCCATGTCAAACCGTTGCAAGACCTGGTCAATGTAAAAGGATTGTGAGAGGGTAATGGTGCGCGCTGCACGGTCCCGGCTGATGGTCATGCCCAAATAGTGCTTGAGCTCACCCAGGTCCTTACACTTGAGGCGTGCATGCAGGGCGTCCTTCACTTGCTACATGGTGGCAGCATCGTCAGCGAACAGGATCATGTTGTCGACATACACTAGGATGAAGAAGCGGGTGGGAGATGAGCGAAGGAAAAGGCTGGCATAAGACTGAGAGGCACGAAACCCCAGGGACTGCAGAGTGGCGGCCAGCTTGTTGTGCCACTCGCGAGGAGCCTGCTTGAGGCCATAAACCGGGCGGTGCAGCTCCCAGACTGTGTTGGGAGGGAAGGCTGCATGAAAGCCTTGAGGCCGCCGCAAGAGGACCCGCTCCCTTGGCACAATACCGGGCCTTGTGGACCTGCTCCTCACCCGGCAGCTGCTTCACTCGGAACACCCACAGGCCTTTAACAATGACGTCGTCAGGACAGGGGACAATGTCAACGAATGAGGCATTGCGAATGAAGGCCTCGCATTCAGCAAAGATAGCCTGGATCCACTTGGCAGCATCGGGTCAGGTGATGGCCTCAAGGAAGTTGGACGGGGTCAATATGGTCGGAGCGGTAGCGATGCCAAGGATGAGGAGGCCAAGGAAGCCCGGGTAGAGGGGCGTGAGGGAAGGTGTTTGTTGCTGAACGCCAATGAACTCCTCATGGTAGTCCTCAATGAAGACAAGGGAGGGTGGGGGTGGCGTTGGCCAACCCCATGGAGGGCCTATGAGTGGGCCATGAGAGCGAGTGTGGACGCGTGGGAGGATGAACGGAGAGGTGGAGCGGCGATGCCATTAAGGTTGCTGCTGTGGCTGCTGCTGCTGCTGGTGCTCCTTCTCCAGCTGCTGCTGCTGCTGCACCTCCTATTGTGGCTGTTGTTGCTGCACTGCCTGCGGGTGCTGCTCCTGCCGCTCCACCCGCTGCTACTGCTGCACCTCCTGATGCTGCTGCTGCTCCCGCTGTTGCTGCTGCCCTTGTTGTTGCTGCTGGTGCTGGTGCGATGAGGCAGAGTGAGCAGGGAAGTCAGGGACAGCTGGGTCGTAAATGTCACCTGAGGAAGGAGGAGGGGGAGGAGCAGGATCCGGAGGAAGGAGGGGAGCCTGGGAAGGAGTGGGGAAATGACAGCATCAGTCCAGGTGAGGGGGCGGGAGAGAGTAGGAAGTGGGTCGGAAGGCGGAATAGAATGATAGAACGGGATGCTCTCATCGAACACCACGTCGTGGCTCTGTAGGAGAGGGCCTGAGGACGGGTGAAGGAAGAGGTAACCAGGGGCAGAGCGAGCGTGGCCAAGGTAGACACACTCAATGGCCTTGGAGGCGAGCTTTCCTACTTGCGTAGAGCGGTCGGGTGGGGGGATGAGGACGTATGCCTTGCATCCCCAGATATGGAGAATGGCAGCATCTGGCTTGGTGCTGGCCCAGAGCTCTGTGGGAGTGCCAGACTATCGTTGAGGATATGGGTAAGGATTAGTGAGGAGAGCAGAATGGGCAAGGGCAAAGCCCCAAAGAGAAGGGGGCGTGGAGGCATGAGTGTGGAGGCAGAGGGCCGTCTTGGCGATCTCATAAATGCGACTCTCAGCAACACCGTTCTGCTGAGGGGAGTGGGGAAGGGTATGAGTCTGCTAGATGCCATGGGTTGAGCAGTAGGAGGAGAGGGTGTGGTTGAGAAACTCACCACCGCCGTCGGAATGGAGGCGGCGGATGGGGCGACGAAAGTGGACACGGCACTGCTTGGCCCAGGTAACGATGACAGCAGGGGCCTCGACCTTCGTGTGGAGAAGGAACACCAAGGAGTACCTGCTGTGGTTGTTGACTAGGACAAGCATGTACCAGTGCCCTTGGTGGGAAGGGGAAGGGTTAGGGCCCCAGAGGTCCATGTGGACGAGGTCAAGGGGGGCAGCAGCAAAGGAAGGATGATTGAGGTGAGGCTGTTGTTTGAGCTTTCCATGAATGCATGTGGCGCATGGGGGAGCGGAAGAGGACGGGAGGGGAGGAAGAGTGGGGGAAGACCGTCAAGCAAGCGGGAGGAGACGGCTTTACAAAGTGTGGGAAAGTTCATATGACCAAGGCGATGGTGGATGAGAACAACGGGGTGAGACAGTGCGCGACAAGAGCAAGGGGAGGAGGTGGAGTTGGAGGAAGTTGGCTCTAGAGGAAGGGGAGGGGGGAGAGTGGAGGTGCCTGCACGAGTGGTCACGTTGCATGAGAAGGGGCGGGGTGTGCTGAGGATGTACTAGCAAGAGCAAGGGCAAAGTGGGAGGCGATGAAGGAGGCGGCGAGTGGGGCCGTGGAGGAGGACATTGTAGGTGGCAGAGGCGAGGAAGAGGGTAGTGATGTCAGCCTGTTGGAGTTCACGGATGGAGAGCAGGTTATGACGAAGGGAGGGAATGTGGAGACCAGTGACCACTCCGGAGGGGAAGGGGGGGCAGGGGAGGGTGGAGAGATGAGTGCAAGGGACGGAGAAGGTGGAATCAGCACCATGAACGTTGGTGGGGAAAGGGAAGGAGGTGAGGGTGCCAGCGTCCTTGAGGGCAGTTTCAATGGCACCACTATCGAGAACAAAGTCAACCGTGAGCGAGGAGGGAGCTGAAGACACGGGGTACTGGAAATCACTGGCATTAAAAACAGAGGGATACATGGAAGTGGAAGCAGGGGAAGAACGCATGAGCTCGCCGAGAAAGCTGGAGTGGGAGGCGGGAGCACTAGGGAAAGGAGAGCCCCAGAGGGAAAGCCAGGAGGACCTGTTGTGGCTGTGGCAGCCATGGCGGCGGTGCTAAATCGAAGCTGCTACTGCTGCCATGCAGATGCTGCGGCTGCGGCTGCGGCTGCGGCTGCAGCCTGACCACCAGAGCCCCACTGCTGCAGCTGCTGCTGCTGGAAGCGGCGAAATTGCTGCAACTTATGGGGTCAGGGACAGAGGAGGAGGAGGAGGAGAGCTGAAGATGAGAGGGGAGGAAAGACGGAAAGAGTTTTAACATCCTGGAGAGAGAGACGGGGATCCATGGAACACCAGCGTAGGGGTGTGCCAGTGTTGCCGCGCTCGAACCAGGCGTCATCATACGCTTTGAAGCAGGTCGTTTGGGTGCAGCGCTCACCCGCCTCGGGACCAAAACGGCGAAGATAGGAACATGGGAGGAGAGTGCCAGGGCAGCCACCACGGCTACCAGATGAGCCACCACTGCCTCCACCACCACCACTGCTGCCACCCTCGACCTCGCCACCACCGCCGCCGGCTCCGTTGCCCCCACAACCGCCACCTCCAACCCCTCCCTAAGGGTTGGTGCGGCCGCCACGTGGGCGTCCGCCACGGCGCGGCTGTGCGACTGCAAGCTGGGGGTTTTGGGACTCAGTGTAGTTCAGGCCAAAGGGGGAGGTTGAGAGAAGGCGGGCCTCAATGTCAATGATCCACTGGATCACAGTGTCGAGGGAGGCGCAGGGCTGAGCCTCAATGAAGGCGATGACGCACGCTTCATACTGATGGGAGAGGCCTTCGAGGAGACGGTAGATCTGGAGGTTGGAGGGGAGAGTAGTCTGGCGAGCCTCTAGGCGGGAGGCAAGGTCCACGAGACGGCTGG